AAGAAAGAAGAAGAAGAAGAAGAAGAAGAAGAAGAAGAAGAAGAAGAAGAAGAAGAAGAAGAAGAAGAAGAAGAAGAAGAAGAAGAAGAAGAAAAAGAATGTGCTGCTGTCAGCTATTTACGTCATCAATGTTATTTCAAGTCAGGAGATGACACACTGGTATTTCGAACGTAAGAATCGCAAGAATCACGCAATTGCATTAATTGTTACATACGACATTTCACTCGAGAGATAGAGCCAGATTACAAGTTATGGACGTAAATGACTCTAATACATGAAGTAACAGTTCTTACACGGGAGAACAGTACAGTATTATTCATTAATTCTTCTTGTGCTGAAGTTAACAATTGATAGTTTCTTCTCCACCTATAGCAATGTTACCTCATCAGAAGTGTCCTGTGGGTGGTTGGTGGGTACTCTTGTGTGGTTCGCTCTTTCTTTCCTATCAAGCATCAGCTGTCGTCCTTATCTCTCCTCCTTTTTTGTGTTTGTTACTGTCTTGTAACACCTCTTATCTTCGGTACCTACCTGTATGACCTTGCTGCGTTGTAAGTGCCGTAAAACTCTTACTAAAACTAAAACGAAGTATTCTGATAACTTCCATGGGAATATTCTAGGCAAATTGTACACTCAAAGTCACAGTACTGTCATCTTTTCATTGTCTTAACATGACTGCATATCCAGGGATAAACAAAGTGGAATAACAATTCAAGTGTAAAAAAAAAAGTTGCACCAGCACATTTCTGATCATAAAATTGTAATGACACTTTTTCTTTTGTTTCACAAATATGACATAATGGCCTTTTGGTGAGGGGAAAACTGGAAAGAGGTGGGAAAAAAATATGGAACTCCTTGGGATGTATGGTTAAGAAAAATGACAATAACGTTTCATGAGTATGAACAGTTCTACAGACCCATTTTGATGACAGGTTGCCACTACAGGTTGTTACATTTCTCTTCCCTCAGGCTGCTGAAAGTTGAGGACAGGAGCCAGAAAATGTCAACTCCAAAAGTACAGCAAACATTTCCATTGAGATACTACATTTTTGCATCGCCGTAACCGTTTCTATGTATTGTTATTGGGAAAACATTTGCGCTTGTGCATGTGTATTTGTCTGTGTGTGTGTGTGTGTGTGTCTGTGTGTGTGTAGGGTGATGCCGTTTGTGTGTGTGTGTGTGTGTG